GAATAACTGGTAAGTCAGTGACTTAAGCCACAGCTCATACTAAAGACACCACTGCTTAACAAAATATTGCTGTTCGTTTTCTCTTATGATTGTATTTGATTGTGGGCTGTAGTTTAGTCAAGGGTAATTTGGACATTATAGAACTTAGCCTCTTCTCACAGTACAGGGAGGAGTGGTGCCCTGGTAAGTGTGGAAAGACAGTCAGAGTGATGATTATTTTGCTTGCATATGTTTACACAGCAAAGGAAAAGCTCCATACAGCTAACAGAGCCACAAGGCCCCCTGCAGTACGTCAGCTGACTTGCTGATACACATTAGTGGTTGCGGCAATCTCTACAGAGCTTGCTTTCTGGTGCTTCAACCTAGCAAAGTCACAGACCAGCGCTAGTTTGGAGCGGGACTGGAGTGATGCTCTAACATAATGACATTCCCTTGTCGCTGCTAAAAACAAACTCACAAGAACTAATGTACAACCAGAACCAGATGTAGCTGCCATGATTGTTTTTCATAATGATTTGTCCAACACTAATGTAATAAAACAGACCAGGAGGGTAATCCCTACCTTCCTTGCCCGAGCTGCTTTCCTCCTGGCATTTTCATCTTTCATTAATCTGACCTGTTATATAGCAGCACATCTGATGCACAACATCACCCACTGCTTGCAGGTCCCTCCAAAGCATGCTAGAAGCAGCACAAGAGTGAGCAGCTGGTTATTTTGCACTGTAGTTTTGCTAAAAACTATCGTTTTCCAGAAAAGGATGGATTAAACCTAATATTTCAGAAGCAGTAGGCTAACCTTCCTGATATATCACCCATTATCACCTCACTTTGCTATGTCTACATAAGCTTTTCACGTAGTAGAGTACATTAACACTAATTAAATTATCTTCCCCCCCCCCCATTTCCAGCAAACTTTAGAAAAGTTTCATTTCTTCACTTAACTGTTGATACACTAAGTCTCTGTATTTCGTTGGCAGCAAAAGTTGAGTCACATAGGATTATACCATCTGTCCAGATTCAAGTAGACTTACTAAGAAAGTGCAGTCATACTTAAATAAACAGTCTGATTTCAACCGAACCCCCTTTTTCTTATTGAGGGAGATCACAAGCATCATGTTTATACAACCTGTAATTAGTTTGAGCTACATAAGCTCACTCTTACTTTCCAGATAACATCAGAGCTGAATGATCAGAAAGCACACCGCCCCCCCCCCATTTTCACTATATTCCTGAGTAATAGCCTGTCCCTTTTAAGCACTCCCACATTTCTGAGTTTAGGCATTTTCAAGTAATATGATGTTGTTGTCCTAATTTTCAGTCAGCTATACTGATTCAGTTTTCACCTCCCCAGCACTGAATTGCTCTAGTGTCTTTCCCTGTTGCGAGTTACACACTCTATAATCTGAGAAAGCGAGGAAGCCTCTCGCTGCCGCTGAGCCAGGTTTTCCTGTTTAATCCTTGACAGCAGGCATTTTTGGTTCTGGTTTGTTTTATAGCTGTCCACATGTCGCCCTGAATACACACTCTGGACATCCTCCACTGGTCCCATAAATAGTGTCTGTGTCTCGCAAGATAAAACAGATCAAGCCTCTGTGACTATTGGCCAGAAGCATTTTCATCTTCCCTTTGATCCAACAGCAAGTTTTCATTTTCCAGCACCCTTTGGCTCGTAATCTGCTCTCTACCCACACTAGCTGAGAGCAAATGACTCTTGAAGGAACCATTTTACAACACTGCAAGATGTCCTTATTCATCATGCAGGCAGCACCAAGGGCTGTGTGCATTAAGCAGAGTGACCTTTCATACACAAAAGACAATTTTAGATATTATTAACACGACCCTTTTCAATTGTTACTTTTCCTCAGGGATTTCAGGCTTGGTGAACCTTGGACTAATAGTCTACAAAATTCAGTCTAAAAGCAAAACTAAATCTACTGCCCAGGGACAACAAGAGATACAAGTATAAGAGAGCAAAAACTGTGCAACCTGCAAGGCCTTACAAGCTCCTGAAATTACTGCAACAATTTGGGAAACAAATACATTCTGTTTTCTGCTAGAATCAAAAGCAAAGATCGTCACTTCAAAACTAGGTGCTTTTCCAAAAGCTGTCTGGATCCAGAAGTAGGCAGGTTGGTTTCAACACTTCCAAGCACACGGGTGCTATCAGCATCAGTTTCTGTTCGAGTACGCTCAAACCATGCAGATGAGTTATATGGGATGCAGACACAGCAACCTCAATTTGAACAACATTATTAAAAGGAAGTTCAATTAAAAAGAGAAAAGAGTTACATCCAAGTGTTGGGATTCAATATTGCTGTGAATCAGTAAAACTCAATAGGCTTCACACAGGTAACCTGTTCTCCTGCCTGGGAGAAAAGCCACTTGGTAAGTGAGAGCACACGTCATCATTTTATTAATGCCTATTCTACTCAGGTATAAGGAGCCATAGGCAACTATATATGCGATATTCATTTTATACAATCATAGTGTTATGTGAAATGATACATCTATATCTCTTTATCTATACATAACACCAGTCTTTTTCTTTCAGGACTGGACCCTGCTCAACCTTATTTTCAAGGCACTCCCATTGAAGTCAGACTGGATAAATCTGATGCAGAGTTTGTCGATGTTATCCACACAGATTCAGCTCCCACAATCCCCTACTTAGGTGAGTATTCAGCTCTACTATATTAGTACCAAAGTATTTATGCCCTATAGCATTTGAGTATCCTAATTGTTCCTCAAGACTCAGTTTTGATGCATAGACACAGAACAAAGACACCATACTGATCACTCATGTCCTAAAATACCAAGCACAGACAAACTTCAAGCTAGAAGCTATAGGTATGAGAAAATATTAATTTGAAACGTGCTTACCCCTGCTTTACACACTTCAGGTTTTGGCATAAGAACAGCTATAGGACACCTTGACTTTTATCCAAATGGAGGACAGCAAATGCCAGGGTGTGAGAAGAACCCTATTTCACAGATCGTAGATCTTGATGGCATCTGGGAAGGTAAGTATGTTGATTACATTACAAATTCAGGGAAAGGTCACTAACCCCTTAACTTCTCTTAATTCAGGTGTTTTGTGTTAGCTTTTGGTGTGTCCATCAGCAATGGCAGCTGCAAAGCGCAGTGAAACTGTTAATATGCTCAAACACCATTTTCCAGAGCTTATTCAAAAAATAAACAAGACAAAGGGTTTGCCTCAGGAAAATGTGCCTCCTCTAACATATCTTACAGCAGAAACAAAAGTTACTTAAACCACGCCAAAAATTTTGAGGGGTCTGTAACAAGACATTTCACTTTGTTTCTGGCTAGCTGCCCAGCAGCAGTACTGGGTGGAGTGCGGCAACGATGCTCACAGCTACTTCTGTTAGGGGAACTTCAGCTGCAATTCTTCTGAGAAAGAGCAATTTTTATTTTTTTTGTTTAAATTCCCTATTACAAATCTGGGTTGCATTAAAACAATATCATTGTGTCTATTTTTAGTCGGCCAAAAAAAGATTGGCATGTAGCTGCTCAAATACACTTTTCTTTGTTGTTTTGCATGGTTCTAATAAAAGTTCTAATTATTAGAAAATTTCTCTGTCTTTATAAAGTTAAGTTGCACATAATATTAAAAAAACAAAAGAAGATTTCTGCTGTAGAGATTTTTCAGTACATGATCCGAGTTCTTTCTTACATTGCTGCAAACACCTTAAACTCTGGGAATCCATGAACTTATTTGTGATAACTAGCCTTTTTCTCCAGGTTTTATTCAATGCAGCTGGAGGCATTGCTTTTTTTTTTTTTTTTTGCCTTTTTTTTTCCCTATAGAGTAAACTTGTTATCAATAATGGGGAATTAAAGCACAAAGGAATAACTGTGTTGTATATGATCTTCTTTTTAACTTAAAGTCAGGAAAATAAAGGCAACACAAAGGGAAATAATATATTCATTATTTTAATTTTAAGAGTCTCCCTTCCTTAAGCACCCCCCAAATAATAATAATTTTGTTTTGAAGTCCTCAGCTGGAGCAAATCAGCATTGCCCTAGGAAGTTCACTGTTAAATACTTTTCATTTGGTTTTCTTTTGTTATGGTAATGCAATTGTTGCCTACAAAAGACCTGCTTCCCGCAGTTCTGGGTTCTATTGTGAAACTCGGTCAGATTGCTTGAATAAGTGTTGGGGAGGGGAGGGCAGGGCCTGAGCTGAGCTGAGCTGCACAGTCGGTCTCCACAAAGCATTGCGAGTTTGTCTTTTATACCTGTTGAGTCAGTGACATTCCTTAGAGCATCAATTCCTTGCAAAAGCAAGCTTCAAACCTTATATTTGATAGTCTAAGAATTGTGGTGAGGCTTTTGAAGAGGAATGATGCATCCCAATGACATGGCAAGGGCTCTGCCAGTATCCCTCCTCAAAAAGTACCGGAAAGGAAGAACTAACCTGGGAGCATCTTTTCACAGGAACTCGGGACTTTGTGGCTTGCAATCATTTGCGGAGTTACAAGTATTACTCTGACAGTATTATCTACCCTGATGGATTTCTGGGCTATCCTTGTCCTTCATATGATGTTTTTGAAACAGTAAGTAGTTCACAGAGCCTCAGGATGGACCATATAAAAAATAGTGGCTCTTACCCATACATCTGAAGTTCAATTTATTTATGCTAGCTTGCACTCAATGAGCGCATGTGTAAGAGTAGTGTCAGACATCCTAAAGTATTATAACTCATGCAGCTGACATGGGTCAAAGTAGGAAAAGGCACCAACGAAACAGGACATCCCTGGTTCTGTGCTGATGTGACAGCCCTGAGGTACTACTGGGGCTGGTGTGGCTTCCCCAGGCCTGCTCTGCTGCATCAAACTGGGGAAGAAGTGAGGAGGACAGCCTGTCCCTGTAATCACCAGATGTATTTATCAAAGAGCAATGAGTGGAATCCCCTACCGTAGCAGGTGAGCTTTCAAACATGGCTTAAATTTCTTCTCAAAACAACAAGAAGTAAAATAATATGTGATGGCCTGATGGGCTCAGTCCATGGTCAAAGTATTTTGGTCACTTAAGATGGCCTCAAGGACAAAGCACAATGGTTTGTGGACTAGGTCAGGAAGCCCTTCCCTGTCCCAGACTGGGAGATAGGAAACTACAGCCTAAGAGTAGCAGGGAGGTAACGGGCTTGTCATATCCTACAGGCAGCACTGACAGAGCTATCAACTTACGTAGTGTTTAGATTGCCCTTTATATGTCTGGGCAGGTGATGGAGATCACACTTCTCAGATCACTTTGGGAGAAGGTGACTACCTGCTTCTGTCACTATAGTAGAAAGCTGCTTTCATGACAAAAATGAGCTTTTTTTTCAAGACAAAGCCTTTCTTGACCCAACCTGAAGGAATAAGGAGACATCATTCTTTCTCATCAGTTGCTGGGAAGGACATTTCCTCCTCCCTGCTCCTCAAGACTACTCAAGGATGTCACTGATGTGGCTGGATTGAGCTAAATGGTATGAGAAAAAACATAGAGCCCTGAAAAATCAGAGCCTTTGAGAAAGTTGGCTAGCTTATATGATCTTTCTCAAGTCACGGAAAGGGTTACTTGAAATGTGTTGTTGCTGTGATACAAGGCCAGTTAGGTGGGTAGGTTAAAAGTAAGTTCTATGACTAATTTTTTTTTTCTTGGCTGGGTGGATAATTTTATTAATAGATACATTTGTTTTCACTAGGAAAGGTGTTTCCCATGCCCACCAGAGGGATGCCCAAATATGGGTCACTTTGCAGATAAATTCAAAGGGAAATTTAAAAGCGATTTCGTGAAACTTTACCTGAATACTGGAGAGGCCAAGGATTTTCCTCGTGAGTTTTGATTGCTTCCATTGCTACCTACTCCTTGTAAACAAACCTTTTTATTTTCCTGTTTTACAATTAATTTGAACAGGTGAATAGACCTCATAGCAGTGCAATGGCTCTTCAGTCCTTCATGCCTTTTCCTCTTTTGCTCCAATACTAGTGCCCAGTTTTGGGCCTTCCAGTACAAGAAAGATGCTTACAAACTATTATAGAGTCCAGTGGAGGTCACTGAGATGTTTAGTGGGCTGCACTACAAGGTGCAAGGAGAAAGGAGGATAGGCAATGCACAGAAGTTGCAGCAACAAAATTCCTCATTAAATAGTACGAAAATTACTGTCACAATGACAGTGCTTAAATGCAACAAGAGCCCAGAGAAGCTGGGAAATCTCCTTGTTTGGAGGTGTTCAAAACTCTGTTTGACAAAGGCCAAGAGCAAGCCGATCACAGCTGGCCCTGCTTTGAGAAGCGGATGGAGCAGATGACCTCCTTTACAGCCTAGGTTATCCTAAATGTCAGCTCTCACAAGATGGTTCTTCCTTTGCCTTTGTAAACAAGAATCAGAGGGAGAAGAGCTGCTTTTGCAAATTGTGTGGTAAAAGAAAGTTCCCACCCACAAAAATTATTTTCCTTGAGCTTCAGAATTTTTTTACACTTCTTTTGCACCGCTTATATTCTGGTACGTACCAGTATTTATTCCTAACACCTTCCACTGTATATGAAAAACTTCCTGGTCAAGATTCTGAGATCTATATTGTATTTACTGTGTTATGGACTAGTGCTTTTTTTTTTCTCCCAGAAAGTAACACAAATGTCTACCCATTTCTCAGGTTGATCTCATTAGGACATAATGACAGATCTGACTCACTGATGTTTTCTATTTGTTTTGCGGTTATAACCCAAGGAAGAGCAGGGAGCACCAAGATTCAGGTGTGAGAGAGCATTGTGTTAACCCCTTTCAGTCCAGACAGTCTGAGATGTCGCCTTGAGCTGAAAGTGAAAGGCAGTGATAATTTTCTTTTGCTTTCAAATACACTGTACAGACCAAAAAACTAACACTTGATATTTTGGAGACTGTTTCTCTGTGAGTACAATCTAACTTACTGTATTTCTTCTGTGTAGTCTGGAGGTACAAAGTAACCATGACCCTCTCTGGAAAGCATAAAGTTAAAGGATATGTAAATGTTGCCCTGTATGGAAGTGATGGGAACACAAGGCAGCATCAGATTGTTGAGTAAGTTCACAATTCAATAGAAAAGAAACCTCAATTCTAGAATGTTTAATTAATATTTTCAATTAATGTTTCTGTTTAAATTGGTCCTATTTTACAGATCACATTCTACCCCCAGATACAGCTCTCTGATGTAAATGCAGTGATAATTCACTTACTCCGGATTTGAAGGCAGAAGTTTAGAATGCAAGATGTTAAAATGTTAGAATTTGGTGCCACTTTTTTGCTGTACGACCCAGGTCTTGCTGGACCTACACTAGCAGAGTTCTGATCTCTTTGTCTTTCACAGGCTTGTAAAACGTTGCTGCTAAAGCAATGTCATGATTTACTGCTACTTTTTGTGGCCTGTAGCTTCGCCTGCTTACACTGAAGCTGTTTGCTTGCCTCATGTGGTTTTGTTTATTTGCATTTTTCTTGTTTGTTTCAACTAAAATGTCAGAAATGATGACAAATAGGAAGAAGGAATTTTGTTGTGGGTTTTAGGTTTTATTTTTTGGGTTCGTTTTTTGTTTATTGACAACTATGTCACTTCCACTTTTCCAAGAAGGACTTCACATCTTCACACTTGGCAGCAGGTGTTTGCTATGAGTTGATCCCCATTTACAGGCATCCATGCATTCACCTGAGATCAGTCTGCCAGTACTGAATGCACTCCAGCACTCTCTAGCTGCTATTTGCAGGGCCTCTGTCAATTCAATTGCTGGAAGTGATTTTTTTTTTCCCCAGCAAATCTTGCTCTAATCTACCAGGCACCGCTGTGGATCCAGCAAAAAAACAAAAAGGCAAAGGGATTTGTCCTGTCTCTCATTACTTCCACTACCATAAGCCTTATAATATAGAGGAGAGCAAATGTGCTTGTCTGAAGGTAGATGAATGAGAAAGTGCAAAGCCAGGGGCAGGAATAAAAATCCTGTCTTTCTTGTGAAGCTTATTAAAATTATAGAGGTTTTTTCTGGGTGGTTCTGCTGGGTCTTCTGGGGTTTTTTCCCCTCCTTTATCTCTCACATCGTGTCTACAATAACAGTTCTACAGTGATAAAGGCATCACACATTCAAATGTCTCTTGACTTCATACAGCAGGGGTAAATTTTAGAAAATAGCCCTTCACCTTCAGAGGATGAGGGTGGGAGGGGGAAAGGAAGAGGATCAAAGAAACTTTGGCTCATATTCAGTAAGATGTAGTAGCTGAAGCCATTACCACTCTCAAACTCCTGCCATTTAGAGCTTTCTATATTGATGCAACAAGAAGTAGTCAGATTATAAGACTCAAGAGCAGATGCACATTTGACTTGGCCACAGTGCTTCAAGTGTGGGAATCTCTGCTAGAGAGGCAGGCTGAGGAGCTGGCGCATAATCCTTTTGGCCATCCCAAACAAATCCAACACCTGTATCATATAAATTAATTAACATTAAATGAAAATTTCACTTCTGTGCAAAAACCCCTGCCTACATAAGCAACAGCGAGCAAGCTCTACCTTCTCGACAGGGTTTGTCCTGTAAAACTGGGTCTTCACTGTGAGGTGTGACTGCAGCACATCAGGTTTACCTGCCCTTGCTTCTTCTGACAAACACTGATCTGGGATGTATTACCTTGGAAATCTGGCAATAATATTACCATACTATAAGCTAAATATTGTCTCTTTACTAACTTTCTGCTCATTTGCTACCACAGCCAATCAGTTGATAGTACTGGTAATTAATATTAAATGCCAGCATGCATCACATTCGTAAAATGTTATTTTTCACAGGGGAACCCTGCAACCAGACAACACTTACACAAGCTTCGTCGATGCAGAAGTTAACATTGGAACGGTTACAAAGGTTAAATTTCTTTGGAACAACAACTGGTTAAATCCAACTTTTCCTGAACTAGGAGCTGCAACTATCACAGTACAATCTGGAGAAAATGGAAAACAGTAAGTATATCCATTGTGAAAATCTTGAAAGTTACTTGGGAAGATAAGTGACAAAATTATATGTGGGGTGAAAGCATTTTCACAAGAAAAGCTATTTAAAGCATTCAAAGACTCTCAAGAAAACCTTTTATTTCCTTCCTTTCAAGACACTGTTCATCCATAGTTCAGTTCACTACTACTTCAACCCTTTGCCTTAAATAGCTTCAAAGAAAAACTTAAAATATTTCCAGGCTTCAGAAGAGCAAACTTCCTGTATAACCCTTTGGGTGAGAAAAATTAGCACTGGCTTGGATTATCAGCATCAATCTTGCCAAGTTCCTACTCATTATCCAGAAGAACTGGTTATCTGTCTCTGAGCTTGCGTTAGGATGTCTGATTCACTGTCAGCTGGAACCAGTGGAAGTTTTCCATTGATATTGATGGTCCCTGAGATCATGATTGGCAAGAGAGAACAGTGATAATAAGCCTGCCCTTCCAATGAGCAAGACTAATACTTGGAAGCTGCGCTTAAAAGGCTAAATCTAAAGTTGAGGGAAACAGGCTAAAACTGATTTCTGTAGACTCCATGGAATACGGTTTGGATGCTCAGATTGTAGAAACAGGATTTACTGATCCAGTTTTACTCATTTCCCTGGACTTTTTAACCCCCTCATTTGCCTGATCAGTTATGTTATTTCATCCACCCCGTGATTAGGTATCTAGAAAAGGAGGTACAGGATAGGTATTAGACCCATATAGAAATTCATAGTTAAAATGCCATCACTTAAAAGACAACATGGGAGATGGAAACAGCTTCAAGCAAAGCAGAATGATTACAGCCCAGCAGCACTACCTTTAAGCAGAGCTCCTAAGTCCAGTTGTAGTTCCTGTTCACCAAAGCACATTACTGATGAAGCCTATTTCTGTAGATATGCACGCACTCTTCTATTGACTCATGCCCTTTGCACAAGTAGTTGTGAACATCTACATAGTGATGGTAGCACAAAATCTGGAAAAAAAAGAAACAGTAAAATGAAAGGAAGGCAGGCAGTGAACCAGAATGAATACAGTCCATCGATACTTTCCTCAGCAGTAATATTTCAAACGTAGGAGCTCAAAGCATGTTGTGATCAGTTGTGTCAAATGACAAATCAGATTGACTTATATTTAAAAAAAACTACTTGTATAACCTCAACAAATGTTGACAACTCAAGGTGCTTGTATTTCTTTTTCTCAGATTCCGTTTCTGTGGTTCCGGGACAGTGAGGGAGGATGTTCTGCAAACTCTTACTGCTTGCTAACAGCACATATAGATGCCTCAAACCTTGCTACCAATAAAAGCCAGTCTTGCATAAAACACTGGAGTCTGCGGTCACTGCAGTTGTAATACTGGTGATGTGTGTTGGGGTTTTTTTGCTGGTTGGGGGGGTTAAGTCTGTGGATAATTCTCCACAGACAGAAATTTTAGGAGTGAATGAGCCACAGCCCATTGAAAAAATTCCCCTCATTTCAGCCTGTTTCAAAATATTTTCAGACAAGAGGAGGAAAGGAGACAAGTAACAGAATCTGGATAGTGGCTCCTGGGCAGTACTAAGAGAAAGCAGACCTGCTTGTGAGTAGAAGGAGAGGAGAGGATTAAGGAAGCTGATGTTCTTAATCAAACTGAAGGCTAAACCCAGAATTAGTGTGAGATAAAGATAAAACAGAGATAGGAGGGCAGTGTTACAAAATGAGGACAGAAGTTTAATTTTATTTACCTGTGAGAGATGGAACAGTCAACATGGTGGAGAACTGGTAATGCATCCTGGTGCGTTAATGCTGAACTAAGCTTGTCCCATATGATCTGGACAGAATTAATTTGCGAAAGCTGCATAACAAATTTTGAATGTTAGTGAAGTTTCACTAAAATGCTTATAATCAGAACAATCACCAAAGTGTCCCGAAATCCCATGTGCTGGCCCTCAGCCTCGAGCAAAACTGCCAGATGATGTGGTCAAAACAGGTAATGCAATGAGGGAGTTGCTTCTTTCCCTGCTTTTTGATAAACACATTCAGCTGAGGTGCGGATAGTTCAAATTCATTTCTGTCCCTACGTAATCCTGTCTCGGCTCCCTCAGCCGGCTGCTGGAGAAGTGGGCTGCTGCTGCTCTCAGAGGAACCCCATCCTCCCTGAGAAACCCACAGAACTGCTGGGGCCTGGAGATCTACCGCCCTGTGGGACCTTTTCTCTTCAGCAGTTTCTCTTGAGGTTCCCCAGACTGGGGCACTCTGCTCTTTCTGCCTCTCTGCGTGACCTTTCCTCCCCCAGAATGTCTTCTCCTGAAGGATATCAACCCCTTTGCAAGCCTTCAGATTCCCCTTGCAGTGGTGAAGGTTGAAACCAATTTATTCTGTGTTAGAGCACCGCTCTCCTAATACAGAAGAAAAAGTAGTTTCATTAATTCAGTGCATCCTGCCAGCAGGATGGTGGGAGGGAGAGGGGGCTGTAAAGAGTAGAAAAAGAACGATCAGCACTGAAGATTGGCAACCTATGGGCATGCTCAGAGCTGGAATAAGTTCCTTATGTGAAAACCAAACTGTTCCTTGGTATAACCCAACTGAAGAGAATATCCCTGAGCAATTTCAGTTTTAGTCAGAGATGTGCAGTCTTGTTTTTATGTTTAAAAACCTTCCAAATTGCACTTGTGCTTCTTGCCCAGATTAAAAGGCGCTGCCCCAGTAGCACAGTATGAACCAAATTTTCACCTGGATAATCACTGTTTCCTGAGACCCTGAAACCTTGCCCTAGGGAGGAAAATAGGGAATAAATATGTGAATTAATAGAGGGGACACACCTTGCTATGCTGTCACAGATGTGTGGGGCATTAAAATGCTAAGCCAATGTCTTGTCCAGCTTCTCTCAAGAGGGAAAACCAAATGTTTTTCACCCTGATGATACTACTCGTGTCTTCCCCTCGTTAAATTGCTTACCCCCTGTGCAGCTCCTCAAGGCAGCAGCAAGTGCACAGTGGAGGAGTTTGCTTTGTGTGTTTTCTTCCCAGCCTATGCTGCCCATGAGGGGTATAGGCTAACGCTTATTTTGGCTCATTTTTCCCACCCATGGTCATCCTTATAGTGGTAGAATAAGAGGATAAGACCTAATAAGTTCAAGGATGTGAGTTGTTTGTCCTGCATCAGGCTGTGGTAAGTCCAGTTTTGGGTTGCTCCCGCAAAGACTTTCTTGGCTCTTGGCAGCTGCACAGCCGCAGCAGCGCAGGAGGCAGCGGATCCAGCCGCAGGACTCTGCACCCTTCACACTGCATTCATGTCATGCAGTCCGAGGAGGAACACACATCCCCTCTCCAGGGAGGTAAATAGTTACGGGTTTACCCAGAGCATGCATAACCAGGGACATGGGAGCCGGCATCCGACGTTGCGTTTCCGTGTACCCTGCGTCCGTTTGACATCACCTGCTTCCTTCTGCCTTGACTGTTTGTCTCTTCTAGAATTTGGCTTCCTGATCTCAGTCCCTCCTGCTGAGGAAACCTCAACAGGGCTATTAACTTCCTAACACTGCAGAAGAGTTTCTCCTTTGTCTTTTGTTCCTTTACCTTAGTATAAGCAGATTCTTGCCTACACAATTGTTTTGACAGTCATGATATTCTCTGCATTATCCTTTGCCATAGCCACTTCAGCAGCCCATGTAATTTTAACAAACACCTAACAGAATCAAGACGTTAAAGCTGACAATAGCATAATAAAAAATCTCCTTTTAATAATGAACTGGAGCTGCCGTCATCTTGTTTTAGCAGAGTAAAATCTCCCCCCCCCCCGAACACTTTACAAAGCTATTACATAAAATGCAATGTTAAATGAACAACAAATTACTTTCCCTTTAGCTAGCTTTTAATGCTAATGGTGCTATTTATTCCTGACCTTTTGAAATATTAGATTTTTTAAATGACAACATAAAAAGAATTCTTGTTTGAAAACGCAAGCAACTTTAAACCACATGTTATTACTTGTAAGTATAGCATGCACATGCATCATTCATTTCAGTGTCCCACTTATGGCTAATTGGTATATATTTCAGTTGACATATATTGTTCTCCTGCAAACGTGTCAAATTCCTTAACGATGTCGGTGACAAAAGCATAGTGCTTGAGATATATAAATTACGCTCTTTACCATATAATCATTCTTATCTATTGGGAATGCTATTTGTGACAAATCATGTTGAAAAATACACACTAAATTGATTATTTTTTTAAACTTTAATATCACACCATTCATGGCAAGGCTTTGATTGAATCTTTAAATATAGACATGTTTTGATTTTTATCTGCATCATTTTGTAGCTTTTGAAAAGCTCACTTTATTTATTAAAGGAAGAGTAGCACAGCGCAGATCTTAAAATGTATCTTTTGTTATCAGCATAAGAAAACAAATGGGCTATAATTGTGGATATGGAATGAGTAATCTGGTGAACAACGCTTTGTGCTGTAGTTTAGGTTTTATAATTCCTGCCAGAAATTACTATTATTTTGTAGGTGGGCAGCATTGCAATCAGAATTTTAAAGATGGAAGCAACTTGGGCCACATATTTTCATTACATTTTAGATTGCCATGTGCAATGTATTTCTCTCCTATGTTACAAATCATCTGAGAACAATCAAAAAAAAAGGAAGATTTCATGTGACTAATTATTACTGAGATATAGCAGCGCTCATTGTTGTCTTTAGACAATGCTGTCTATAGTCATTACTTTGCTCCGTAAATCAGTAGGATAATGAGGTGCTATCTTGCAAGAAAGATTTGAGCATATCTTAATTTGGCATTGATGAATTCTCCTTCCTGAACCTCTTGAGGTTTTTTTTTAATCTTGTTTGTCATATTAGAGCTTTCATCACCTAGCCACAGCTGACAGTGTTTATGTACGCATATTTATTTCCATACCTTTCTGGGATGTGTCCTCAGAGGCTGCAAATAGGAATTTTATGATGTTATGCCCAAAGGCTATTTTGTTCTTAATTTGAGTGTAAATCACAAGCTATTTCACCACACCCTCATACTTGAGAAATATATAGTCAGTATGGTGGTATTTCATTGTGAAAAAACAAGGCTAAACTTGTTAAAAATCTTGTTATTTTTAAAAATTGGAAACAGTTAATTTGAAGAAAGATATTTACTTGAAGAAATACTGTCTTTTGCAAAAAAAATTACATAATAAGTTCACATACTCATTTTTTCCTCTGCAAACGTTCTCGAATTTGAAGACAATGAAAGGGTAAAATGTGTCAGCATTTTTAATCAGTCAAAACAGAAGGCTTCAGTAGGGGGCAGAGGAAGAAAGGAGAAGGTCGATGTGATGCTCCCACAGCCCTAAATGAAAAAATAATAATAGTGGCCTACATGCCACTTACTTCTAAATTGTGCCTGTATACAAACAGAAATAAGAAGCGAAGTACTCTTTAAATTAGGCTAAATGTTGTACTCAATTACACAATAACAATTGAGTGGCTACTACACTTGCTAGCATATTGAAGACATATATTATGTGAGACCCAGAGACAAAAGTTGCATTCAAGTCCCTCTTTGTACTATGGCCCATGTAATTATTGCTGTGGTACATATCCTATGGAAAATCTTACCTTTAATTGCATTAAGTGGATAATTGCTTCACATCAAACCAATTAGGGAGGTGAAGGGGAAAAAAAAGGGGATATAAACCTCCAAAGCAATGCACTTTTTTGCATAATAATTTACATTATTATAATTTTGCATATAAGTTTAGATAAACATAAGTCTTACTTGATCTCATTAAAAATAACAACAATGAACAATACTGGTGGCTTGGATGCCTCAGTTTGGGGCGTGCAGTTTCAGAGTTTGGATTCCCCTGGGAGTGCTGATTATCCTCTTTGGAAAGTGAGGTCTCCCGTGAGAGCGGTACCATTTCTCACTCAGAAGAGGCTCTTCGTGGAGGAGGAATATAGTCATCACCTTAATTATGTGGGACACAAAACACACAATGAGCATGTGTATGTCTTGCCTGAGATGATGGAAGAGCAGAAGCCATCCCCTCCTTCTCTGAAAACCGAGCACTGTGTTTGCTGACTGCAGCCTTGAGCCTACAGAAACTTCCAAAGGAGCTGCTTAAAAATAAACCCAAACTCATGTTTTAAGCTTCCAAACAGCTGCCAACCTTTTCCCACAGTCCTTAATTCCTTACTCAAACACCAACCATCTCTCATTTGATGAGAGAATAAAAATCAACAGGAAGGACGCATGCAAGAGGTTCTCCACCACCTTCAGCTCTCAC